CTATGTCGTATCTTAATTCTCTTGATGTTAGTGATTTGAATCGATCTGATTTTGTGTTGGAGCTGTTCATTAAAAGAATCATTAGTCCTGGTGATGTATCTAAAATTAAGGGAGATTCCAACTTCTTTGATGAGTACATCAGTTGATCAGTATCAATACAGGTATGCTATGCACATTGTATGATGATGACAATGATCACATTCACACACTTAATGTTTATTCCAGTAGAAGTCACAGTCATCACTATTCATTTTTTATTTTTAGGATTTTGAAACTAAGTCTAAATGATGGTTATTTAATACAGAGTACAATTATTATGTTTATGTTTCAATTTTTTTTAAATTAATAACTTTATGACTTTGCAAACTACATTGGAGTAACAATGTTAGATCTACTCATTATCAGTATTATAGGAGATAAATAGCAAGAATGTTAAGATTAATTATACTAAAGAATGATTATAGGCACATTTTGTTAGAAATAATAGTATTATAATGTACACTTGTCAATCTATCCTAATTATTATTGATATTGTATTTTTAGTTTGTGGTTATCTTATTCATACTTGTGGTTATAGGTGTTATATAAGTTGTGATGCATGCACAGTCTAACTAACTACTGTTACTTCTGTCTGTAACTGTCTGTTGTTATTGATTTGTTCTGTTTCAGTCGTTATATTGTTCTCTCTTTGATGCTCTCTTGGCTCTGGTGTATTCTCTTTCTCTCTCTCTTTGTTTTTCCTCTTGGTATTAACTTGAGTTTACATCATATTTATTGTCAACTACAGTCTGCGACTATCCCTGCCAATCCCAATATCTTAACACATTTTATTAAGACAAGTAGATCATATAATGATTGCAATTGTTCTTCAGTGATAAATAACTATATTTATTTCTAATTAGTCGACTACTATCAATTTAATACCACACCTATGCACCTGGCAACCCACCATCAGTACCTGGCCTGCTACAGCAGTGAAGCACGGCCATGTCTTCTCCAGAGTTAGTTGTCTTTCAGAAGTTTACTTCAAACATAGCTGATGCTGCAACGGGTTTACTTTCCCCATTTGCTTCAAATCTGTACTCGGAGGACATCATCGACTCGACAGTGCGTGACAATGTTACTAGTATGACGGGCCAGGGTCCTAGAGATAAAGCCGGTCTGCTTGTTAAAGGAATAGAAGATAAGTTGAAGGCTGCTAAGAACGACAAAGAAAGGAAGAAGCTTTTTGATGTGATCTTAAAAGTAATGGATCAGAATATACCATTGGATGCAGTTGCTG